AACGAACAATAGATAAAATAAGAGTTACACAACGCACTATGGAAAGATCAATATTAGGTATTACCATCAGAGATAAAGTACCAAACCTAGAAATACGAAGAAGAACAGGAATCACAGATGCAGTTGAAAAAATAGCCATGGCTAAATGGGCCTGGGCCGGACATGTTCCCAGATTAACGGATGATCGATGGACCAGATAGATTCTGGAATGTCGACCAAGGCAAGATGCATATCGAAGCAGAGGAAGACCACCGACTAGAGGGACGGATGATATCAAGCGCATCACCACAAACTGGATGCAAGATGCTCAAAATAGAAATAGGTGGAAAATTTTACGGGAGGCCTACGTTCAGTAGTGAACAAATATGGGCTAATTGATGATGATGAATTTTTTTTCTTCTGACGTATCGTATAATGCAGGTATACCCACTAATCAAAGTTATGCCTTTAAAAGAACATATTTAAAAAAAAATAAGGAGTACCATGTGACATAATAATTGTAATCTCCTTTATATACACTTCAAAAATTTGTTAGTAATGTATTTCTTAAATCCACACAATCATCATTAAAAAATGATTCATGCTATTTCAAAATACCTTACTGTTTACGACACTGTTATCGACAAAGTAAATCAAATTCAAACTTGTCATCATAATACACTTCTATTTATCGATAAAAATTAATTGATGGTCGTGGGTTGTATTGGTGTTATTTGATAATTTAGCAAAATACATAATCAGCAAAAATCTTATTTAAAACATGCGAACGGTTTTTGCAATCACAATCAATGCAGTGTTTATGCTTTTTTGGCATTGGCTGTTTAATAATTTGCATTCGATTGTTTCGTCTGTTGTACAACCCTCGTCCTTTTTAAGGTTTAGTAGTTGTATATAAGTACCTATTTTTTTTATAGTAGTGTAGTGAAGCGGTACTTTAAAGTAAAATTAGTAATTTGGAAGGAAATAAAACAGTCGAAACGTAGAGTGATATCTCCTGAAGAACGACGTTTAATTCTGAAAATCGAAGTTATTTAAATTTGGAAAAAAGTAATATGGATTCATTGACATCTGTTATGGGAGTTTAAAAACTCATACTTGCGGTATCTCAGAGAGGACATTCTGAAGAATTAATAACATGAGTGAGGATGAAATAAATAAAGTAAGCAAGAGAAATCGTCGACATCCAAAAACTTTAGATTTTCCCCAGTCAATTAAACTTGTAATTAAAAACATTATATAGTCAATCTACTTTAAAGGTGCGGAGAGCACAAAATTTAAAAGAAATTTGTTACTGACCAAATAGCTCTTAAATATGGCCATGAAGTTGTTCGACTTCCCCCTTCCATAGCCACTATAATGCAATAATTGAGTTAGTTTGGGGTATAGCCAAAAATTTTTATGATAAACATGCATGCAAAACAACAGATGACGCTAGCATTCTTAGTTTATGGAAAGAATTGCTAAAACAAATAAAGGCAGAACAATGGCGAAATTGTATTAGACTTACGGAAGATATAATCGTTCAGTCTTTTCAAACCGAGCGAGTTATGGTTGAGGTACGGCCTCTAATTATTCGGATAGACAATTCAGATAGTGGATTCAAAATATGAGACAGTGAATAGGACAAATCGTTTGCTATAAAGAAGTAACAAAAAAGTGTTTCAGGAATTCAATTCCGACTTTGTGGTGTGTTTCAGTTAAACGATAAAGTACCTTTGGTCAAATTACTGGATTACATACTCCCAATAGCTTTGGTATTAATTACTGGATTATACATGTTTAAACCTTTTGTTTTGCTGATAACTCGGAAGTGTGTTAGTGCCAATTTGTGTCAAGGTTATATTTAATAGAGTGTCTGCAGAAAATATAATCTTGGATGTATTTTATTGAAATTTGGACATACCAGCAGCTTGGCAAGTATTTTCCAATTTTACTGCATGCAAAACCATTCGTATAATTTTCACTCTACGCAAAATAGTGACTTATAAAGACCTTGAACATTTGATGTCGACAAATAATTTCGAGAATTCGAAATATTCCGTCCCACTTCTTTTAACACGCCCTGTATATACATATATTCATTTAATTTGCCTTTAATACAGTAAAATGCAATATTATTCATCATCATCATCCAGCCCCATTTTCACATCCATTGTTGGATATAGGCCTCCTCCAAACGTCTCCAGTTCTCTCTATCTTTAGCTGCTGCAATCCAGTTTGTTTCTATTCTTCTTAGGTCGTCGATCTATCGGGTGGGCGGTGTGCCTCGATTTCGCTTGTCGGCTCTTGGTCTCCACTCCAATAATCTCTTCGTCCATCTTCCGTCTTCTATTCTAGCAACATGTCCAGCCCACCTCCAATTTTGTTTATTGATTCGCAGTATAGTATCGTCTACGCCAGTTCGTCGGCGTATCTCCTCATTTCTTACGCGATCTTTTAAGGTCAGGCCCAGCATTGATCTCTCCATTCGACTCTGTGTTACCCTCAGTTTTTCGGCAGTAGCCTTCGTTAAAGTTAGGGTCTCTGCTCCATAGGTCAAGACTGGTAAGATGCATTGGTTAAATGCCTTCCTTTTCAGGTGAATTGTGATATTTGTTTTAAAAATGTCTCTCATCCTTCCATATGCCGCCCATCCCAACGTGATTCGTCTATTTAGCTCGCAGGTTTGGTTGTCTCTGGTTATTCTAATTTCATGACCCAAGTATGTGTATTTATCGATTCATTCGACCTTGTTGTTATTAATCTGTATCTCTTCGCTGGGAACCATATTGGTCATTATTTTGGTTTTCTCGAAATTTATCTCCAGCCCAGTTTCTTGTAGTATGTCATTCAGTTCTTGGAGCATGCCTTTGATCTCTCCCAGATTATCTGACAGAAGCACGATATCGTCCGCAAAATGTAGATGGTTTAATCTTTCTCCATTGATGGATATTCCTTTCTCTTGCCATGTTAGTTTTTTAAATGCATACTCAAGAACGGTAATGAACAGCTTTGGTGACATGGTATCACCTTGCCTGACTCCCCTTTTTTTCTTTATTTTATTAGTTGCAGAATGTAGACTTATGGTTGTTGTGGCATTTTCATATATATTTTTGACTATATTACAATATCTGTGGTCGACCCTGCAATCTTGTAGTGCTCTTAAGATGGACGGTAATTCCACTGTATGAAGCGCCTTTTTAAAGTCTACAAATATCAATGCCACGGGACGGTTATATTGGTTAGTTTTTTCTATCAGGGTTTTTAGGCATTGTAGATGATCGTTTGTGCAGTAATTAGGGCGAAAACCAGCTTGTTCCCGAGGTTGGTAAAAATCCCGCTTTGTCCCTAATCTGTTCGTTATTATTCGGGTGTATAATTTATAAAGATGGTTAAGGAGACTGATTGGTCTGTATCTTTCCAGGTCTGCTATATATCCCTTCTTGTGTAAGAGTACAGTTATTGAATTATTCCACTTTGTTGGGATATTTTGATTCCATAGGCATCGATTAAAGAGCTTTTGAATTTTGGCTATCAATACTGAGCCTCCTATCTTTATCGCTTCCGTGACGACACCGTCCTCCCCCGGAGCTTTGTTATTCTTCATCTTTTTTAGAGCCTTGTAAATTTCGTCCAAGGAGATTTCTGGGATATCTTCGGAACCCTGATTTTGAATCTTCCTTTGTTGATATTCAACTATATCTAGAGTCGATTGGTTGCTATATAATGTCTCATAGAATGATTCCACAATTTGTAACAAACGTTCTCTGTTTGATGTGATGTTGCCATTTCTATCCTTGAGTTTGACTATTTGTTTATTTCCATTTGTGAGTTTGCGTCTCATTATTTTCATACTCTTATTTTCCTCAATAGTTTTGAGGATTTTCTCATCTTTGTATTTTCTTAGGTCTTTTCTGATTTCTCTTGATACTTCCTTGTTCATTATATTTATATCGTCGTTACTAGAGTACTTTGTCGCTTTCCAGTATTCTTGTTTGTTCCATTTTTTCTGTGTTTCCAGACTAATTTTTTCTTCCTTCACGCTTTTTGGGCAGCATTTCTTTTGAGCTTCTGTTATTGCTTCTACTATTATGTCATTTAGGGTGTTAATATCATTTGTTGATGATTTTTCTTAAAGGAATTTACCAATATGATCTTTAAAATTTTCTTCGTTGTTTGGATGTGTCCATATGTTTATTTGCTTCTTTTTTATCATATTGTGTCGTTCATAGTTGGTATTTAACACAATTGTGTCTCTCACCATGCGATGGTCGCTTGATTTCGCAAATTTATTTAGCACTGTCACATCTGTAAATATGTATCTTTTATCAGTAATAAAGTAATCGATCTCGTTTGTCGTCTTCCCATCTGGGCTTTTCCACGTCCATCTGCGGTGAGGTTTCTTGTAGTAGTAACTGTTCATTAGGAATAGATTTTTCTCTAGTAGAAAGTTTAAAAGAGTGTCGTTTAAAAGAGCAGTTTCTGCTGGATCCAGTTTTGTTCCTATTTTGGCGTTAAAGTCTCCACATATAACTGTGAAAGTTGTTGGAGCATAGACTTGGATAACTTTTAAATTATATCTAGTATTTATTTTGAACGTGGCATATATAACTCTAAAATAAAATATAATAATAAAAATAATAATAAATAAAAATAAAATACAGGAAATTAAATATTTTTACATTTCAAGAGACTGGAATTAAATATTAACGCCCCACTGATCATATCTTAATTGCATATCGGTCGTCTTGAAGTAAAAGGACTTTATCATAACATATTATTTAATATTTTGATATGATAATTTTTTGAATATTACATTTGATGTTTAATATTTATAAATTTAAAATATTTTCCACCTTTAATTACGTAATTTGTATCATGATCAAGGACATCTAGAACACAAATTTTAAAGATTCTTCCGGACAGCCACTGGCCGCCTTTAGATTTTGATTACCTTGTTTTGATCAATTTTAATAATCTTTTGGTAAAACCGAACAGTAGGTTAGTATTGTTTTAGTTTTGTAAGTGTTAAAACGTGAACTGTAACAGGTATGTTGTTCTGTATTGTTTAATATTTTATTACTTGTTTAATGCCTTATCTTAATATATTTTTATTTTATTATCCTATTATTATTTTTAATATTTTTTTTATCGTTTTGTACCTGATTCAGTAAATTGTTCGTTTTGCAAATAAAATAACACTACTCTTAAAACAACGGCATTAAATATCGACAACCTTCTTCTTCATGTACCATGTCCTTTCAGAACGTTGGTTACCATCATAGCTATTTTAATTTTATCCACTGCCACTCTAAATAGCATGCTTGTATCTACACCACACCAGTCTCGCAAGTTCTTCAACCATGAGGTTCTTCTTCGTCCTGGACTGCGTTTGCCTGCTATTTTTCCTTGCATGATATTTTGTAGCAATCTATATTTGGGACCTCTCATTACATGTCCGAAATATTCCAGCTTTCTCTGCTTGATGCTTTTTATGATCTCAGTAGTCTTGCTGAGACGTTCTAGTAATGTGGAGTTACGAATCTTCTCCACCCAGGAAACTTTTAAAATTCTTCTATAGCACCACATTTCGAAAGCCTCAAGGCGATTTAGATCGATTTTATTCACAGTCCAGGACTCGACAGCATAAAGTAAGACCGAAAACACGTAGCAGCGAAGTAGACGGATCCTTAATGCCAATTTTAGGTCTCTGTTACATAACACCTTGGACATCCTTCTAAAAGCAGCTCTAGCCTGCTCTATTCTGGATCTAATTTCGCCGTGATTCTGATTACAATTTAATTGCTGTCCAAGGTAGACGATTTTATCAACTTGCTCAAGTTTGGTATTATTTACATATATAGAGGGTTTTATATTCTGTTGTTTACTTATTACGAGTATTTATCGACAACCACTTGTCTTAATAATTCAAAATACTCATACTTCTACAATTTGACAACTGATGTAGCAAAGTTATACCAGACAATAAATGCTAGTTTTTTGTTTAAGACTTCTTTTCTTCTTCTTCTTGGTTCAGGCGAGACACGTCAGTCTCTAGTACTTGGTCATGAGACCTGTGTATCATATCGCGTGTTTTTCATAAAACTCCACTAAGTTATGTAGCCTCGATGAATGCGAATGGTTTCCTTATTGATAGTTTTAGGATGATAGTTTTTTTATGAAGGTATATAATTAACAAGACCCTTTCTGGCTACATCACAACAGTTGCCACTTAATTTTTAGGTACCAAATGTTAATTTAATATATATAGAGTCTTATCAATATTTCATTTGATCCTTTGGTGATTAGGTAATACCTAACACCGTTAATATAAGTAGTAAGTGGCTCGAGAATCCGTTGTGGGTCTTGGCCTGCTCACAAAAAAGTCGCCACTTCTGTCGATTCCTGGCAACTTACCTCCATCTTCTGACTCTTAGAATTATGTATTTCTTCTTCCACGTCATCAATCTATCTCCTTCGTGGTCGTTTTCTACCTCTTGTATCTTCTGATTTTAAAAATGTTAATATCTTCGTGTATTCGTGATCTGAAATCCTAGCAACGTGTCCAGCCAATCTAAGTCTCTGCACTTTAACGAATTTCACAATATCTGAATCGTTGTATAACTGATATAGTTCAAAGCTGTATCTTTGACGCCATAGCCCATTTTCATTTACGGCCCCAAAAATCTTTTTTCTCTTACAAATACCAAGTATTTCTTCATTTTGTGATAAGGTCACGTTTCAGCTCCATATATCAAAACCGGACTTATTAAGGTCTTGTACAGATCTTTACTGCACGTTTTATATTTTTTAAATGTTTCTAGAGACCGTTAACAGTTCTGTTTGCTATTGATATGCGTCTTTTTATTTCGTCGCTTGTCGTGTTTGTTGCATTTACTAGCGATCCAAGATATGTGAATTCCTTGATTGCTCAAAGGTATGGTTGTTAATTTGAATTCTCGGTTGGATATTTTGGGGGGTTTTAGACACCAACAAATATTAATTTTTTCTTCGTTTATTACAAGTCCTAATTCACTTGCCGCGTCCTCAAGCCTTGTAAAACACTGCACCATGTCTCTGATACTTCTACCTACTATAATTATATCGTCAGCGAATGCGAGAATTTGCGTCGATCTATTAAAAATAGTTCCATTTATTCTAATATTTAATTGTCTGATTGCCTCTTCTAATGCAATAATAAAGAGGAGACACGCTAGCACTTCCCCCTATCTTCCTCCTCCTCAGTCCTAATCCTTTTTGGGATGTGGTGATACCATCAGGCCTTCACAGTTTTCTTAGGATTTCCGTCCATCCTTCTCTGTCTTGGGCTAGTTATTCGGCTTCATGTAATCCTTGGGTAATAAATGTTATTGTTTGATCTACCCAACGGCTTGGAGATCTTCCCCTTGGTCTTTTTCCCTTGTTATTAGGGAACCCAGGTATATGAAAGTATTTACTACTTCAAAGCCACCAATTTCTTTAATGTGTTGAAGATTATTCCGAGCTCTGTCTACTATGATGATCCTTGTCTTACTCGTATTTAGCTTTAGTCCACATGTTTTGTTTTTTTTTCTTCAAACATCGCATTATGTCTTCCATCTCTTCCTGATTTGCCGCGATTATTAAAATGTCATCAGAATATCTCAAGTTATTGATTTTTTGACCTCTTACTGATATTCCGCCCTTCCATCCGTCTAGTACCTTTCGCATAATGTATTCGCTGTAGATATTAAACAAAGTTGGCTAGATTATGCATCCCTGCCTGACACCTGCCTCTGTTCTGAAATGATCGGAATGGGTCTTGTTTATTTTTACTGTGCACTTATTATTTTCATATAGACTTCTAATTAGTTGAATTAAGTGGTGGGGTGTTCCCATTTTCGCTAGTATGGACCATAGCTGCTGCCATTTGACTTTATCGAAGGCCTTTGTGTAATCCACAAAGCACATGAGTATTGAATTCTCGAGTTTTTTCGATTAGCTATCTGACATTAAGGATGTATTCTCTTATGCCTTTTCCTGGGACAAATTCCGCTTGTTCTCCTGATATCTGAGGCAATAGAAAAGCTTTTAATCTTTCATGTATTATATGAAGTAAAATCTTGCTTGCATGGGATATTAGGGTTACTGTTCTGTAGTTTCTGCAATCTAGCGGAGTTCCTTTTTTGAATATAGGGATGAAAGTAGATGTTGTCCAGTCGTTAAGCCACTCTCCGGTTTCCCAAATCTTTTTGCAGATCATATGCATAATATTTGCTCCAACATCTCCAGTCTTTTAAAACTTCTGCGGTGATCTTGTCTGCGCCAGGAGATTTTCTATTTTTCAACTTATTGATTGATTTTTCTACCTCTGACTTTAGAATGTTTGGTTCTCTATCTGCAGTGAACTAATCGTGATTTGCATTCTGGGGATCATCTGCATATAAACTTTGACAATATTTTCTCCATGCCTTTGCAATCCCTTTCTCGTCATTTATAATATGTTGGTTTTGATCCATTATTGTTTTTGTGATTGGTTTAAATTCCCTGGCTAGATATGGGAATTTGTTATATAGCTCATGGGATTCATACCGGTTTGCATGTCTCTCTAGTTCTTCGCATTCTTTATTTATATGTTTATTTTTATCATCCCCACATGCTCTTTTAATTTCTCTATTTAACCTTGCTAATTCGTTTTTGTTGCTGTCATTTTGATATATGAGAGATTTGATCCTCCTTCGCTCTTCGAAAAGTTGCAGCGTTCTGTCCTTTATCCAGTGTTTTCTTTTGATGATCTTTTTTTTAGTTCTGGTTTTTTCTACAGGGGTTTCTATGGCATTTCTGAAACCTTTCCACATTTCTTCTGGGTTGTCTTGTGTGTTCAACATACTAGTTTCCTTTAATGCATCTCTAAATGTTTTCGGATTTGAAATCTCCAGCCTGTTTTGATTTTGTTGCGGCATTGTTCTTTTTAGCTTCATTTTGAAGCAAGCCCATAACAATTTTTGATCTGATTCACATTCAGCTCTTGATCTATTGTTTACGTTTGTAAAATATGTCTTCCATCTGTTTCTAATCAATATGTAGTCGATTTGGTTCTTGTATTCTCCATTTGGGCTGGTCCACGTCGATAAACGACGAGCATGATGTTTGAACATTGTGTTTATAATTTTCAAACATCATCCCCCTATCTTATACCCTATCTCCCTATCTTAGACCATTATTAATGTAAAAAAACCTAGAGTTTTCTCCTTCAATTCTAACGCGTGAGCTTACGTTTTGCATTGTTAGTTGGATCAGCTTATCTAACTTAGGTGGTATCCCAAAGTCTATTGCATTATGTAATACAGTTTTTTTTAAACTGCCATAAACCGCTTTGAAGTCGACGAAGTGATAGTGTGTATCTATGTTATATTCTAGTGACTTTTCTAGAATCTGTATATGTGCTTGAATTTGATGTGTAGTTGACTTTTCAACAGTAAATCCGCATTGTTAGTGACCAATAATATCCTGTGTAAAATGTTTAAGTCTTTCAAACAATACATTGCCGAAGATTTTATACGCAGATGCTCAGAGTAATGCTTCTATACTTGTTACACTCCACTTGATCACCTTTTTTATGCAACGGACATAATATTCCCTTTAGCGACTCTTCTGGTACCAATTCATTCTGTCATATAAGTAATGTCATATAAATATAACATATCAACGATTTTTTCACAGATAGACTTTTCAATTACAAAAAATTTAACAGCTGTAGGTAAAAGATCTTCTCAGATATGTCTATAAAAAATTCACACTGTCAGCGCCCACTGGAGTTTAGTACCTATGTCTATTTTTTATATTATGTATAACAAATGCGGATATACAATTTTGCTTAAAATTATTTTTATGAATTTAATAGTTATTTAATTCTTTATAGTAGACATTGGGAATAAACTTTGTATTTTAATCTCTATTTTTTCTGTTAATGATGTATTTAAACATGTTTCTGATTTTAAGGTAATTAAATACTGACAATCTACGTAAACCAACTGTAAAACAAGATTAAAGTCACTATTAACACAAAA